CAGTTTCTTGCGGAGACTCTTTTCCGTACAGATACAAGAAAGCCATGGATTCTCCTTTTTCTAAATACTTAACTTAAAGACCAACCATAAACCATTTCTTTTCCATCAGTTTGCGAATAAGTACGACATCTCAAAAAAAAAACATGCAAAATCTCAACATTTGGATTTCGTTCAAACTTCAACCGGGGTCGCATTGACGATCGCAAAAATCATATCTTCAGAATAGGACCATACTGTAGGATTACAGCAGGTGAACCTGCACTCAAATGATTCCACAAGACCAAATTTCAAGTCGTTCTATGTGACCTTCGTGTAAACAGTATCTCTAAACGTGACTCGGGATGCAGTTTTTCTGCAGCAGCACGCTCGGTGATTAGGAAACGTGCGCACGCAGCTGGCCAAGCTACTCTGAGTTCTTACTTTGTTACCTAACATCTTTATCTGCAATTTCTGGTGCTGTGTGTTTTTCAGCAAATTATGACATCATGACAAAAAAAGGAAAGAAGCTGCCGATTTTCAAGATGACCCCAATAAGATCATGCTTATGATGTTACGCACAGAACAGCACCCGCGGACCAGGCCACAGGAACAATTTACACATGTTATAACCATGCGATACGGCTGAACAGATATGATATTCGTAATTTCCATGCCAAATACTCCCCCCTCCTTTCCCAATCCTCCACAACAAAGTTCACCAAAATCCAAATTTTAAAAATGGGCATTGAAAGTGGTTGCCCGATAAATATACAAAGGAAAAGCAAGATGATAAATAAACTTTTCAAAATCAGAATAATGGATATTGAGATGATGAGATGAACGCACCCCTGTAGCAACTTTTTTCAAGAGATAATGGCGAAGAGCTGGTCCTGGATTCGCTTTCATTCCGATATGTCGAAGAACGGATAGCCTCGTCTGAACAGTTACAAGAATGTATATTTCAAACTTGATGCGCAGTAACCTCAACAAATTTGAAGTATTTTATGAAAAAAGAATTAAACCACAAAAGAAAATGCGAAATGGGCAGTTTAACACAGTTTGAAATTTTAAAAAAGTACAAACTTATTCGCATTTGCAAACAAACCTCAACAGCTGCCGGATCATGCTGGTCGTCATCGTCGGCTTCGAAAGCATCAGGTTTCTCTGATGTATCACCAGAAGCGGCGCATGGAAACTAAATGGAAACATTGGAAACGTACATCGGTATACTAGTAGAGCGCTTCTCGAGATACGGTTCAGTCCTGTCACAATTACTACTATGCGAAATAAGAAGATATGCAAAGACCACCAATAAGAAGAGCTTACACTATTAGCCCAACTAGTACCGGGTTCTTCTAG